CAGGTAATTTTGCTGAGAGAGACCAAGTTGAGACCATCTACACTTCTGAAGCTACCCAACTATCACATCTATAGGCGGGACGAGGTTAATCCTCAAGGAACCGTCTATTGAGGCTCGGCGGTTCTTGTAAGCAGAGACATCGTCCATCAAGAACTAGACCTGCCAGTTTATCAATCGATACGCTCTATGGGCATAAAAATGGAGGTGGCGGGTGAATAACTAAGGATCTTTACAGCATACCGCCCACCAGGGACTCCATTCTGCTCCTCAGACATCCGGACGGTAATGGAAGGCGTAGCATCTACCATCGTCGCGGGGGACCTAAATACGAAACACCCGGCCTGGGGATTCAGAGTGATCAACCCGCCGGGTCGTGAACTATATGAAGATGCAAAAAATAACGTAGTTGTTATTTTTTGCATATTCATCACGTTTTTGGTCCCAAAGAACCAACACACGTCCCTACGGACCACCGAAGATGTCCGGATGTATTGGACATTATGCTCTCTAGGAACGTCAACTGCCCGATAGTGGTAGAGATGCTGTACGGCCTGACTTCTCAGCACCTCCCGATCTTGATTACCCTTGGCTTCAAGGTGGTGACTACGCTGCCCAGAGTTCTTAAAACCAAGATTGACTGGAGGCTCTACAAACAACATTTGCAGGAGAGACCTCCAGTATTAACACCGATTAACTCAGCGGACAACGTTGAGGCCGCTGCAATGAGAATAACAAAAAAGATTCAGGAAACCCTACATGCGGCCTCTACGATCGTCCCACTAACACAAAGGAGAGATTAGCTGCCGCGAGATATACGCGCGCAGCTTAACCACAAGACAGCGGTGAGAAAGCTCTGGGCGCGCTCTCGCTGCCCGAGACTAAAGACCAGACTCAACCAATTGACAGATGAATTGTCGGTTGCAATCCAGGCCCACAGAGTAAAGGCCTGGGAGCGGCGCATCTGGAACGAGGAAGAGCAAGATGTGTTGCTCTATAAATTGAGCCGATAGTTAACCAAAACCAGACCTCCTGTCTGCTCACTGACCAACAACGCGGGCGCACGTTGTTACGAGGCCAAAGTAAGAGCGGATATCCTAGTAGCGCACTTCAAGAAGCAATTTATGCCGAACCCAGCAAGTGCAGAGTTCATGGAGCTTCATGCCTGGAAGGAGAGCCACGTACGGGTGTTCCTGTCGTCACCCGCGCCACTGCTTGCAGGAGAGTGGTGCGGGGGAGATCCCCGCTGAATTGTGGAGGACAGCAACCTGCCTGCAACCGAAGAAGGCGCCGGAGTACAACGGGATTACAAACGCTGCACTCCGACAGCTGCCCAATAGATCACTTGTAGAGATAGGTCGACTCTATAACGATATACTGCGGATATCCCACTTCCCGGAGGACTGGAAAATCGGCAAAGTAATCTTTCTGCCGAAACCCGGGAAGCACAGGCGTAGAGCAGCAACCCTGTGCTTCCCGGGTTTCGGCATTACGCTGCTACCGCACATAGCTAAACTGTTTGTAATATTATTGTTGAGAAACATTTGCCTGTGCATACAACTCAGGCGGATCAACATGGCATTCCGGAGGGACCACTCATCAGCTACACAGCTGAACAGGGTGGTGCACTACCTTCCAGTCGAGCACAATCGCGGCCGCACATCGTTGGGCGTCTTTCTCGACATAGAGAAGGCGTTCGACAGAGTGTGGCACTCTGGATTATTCTACAAATTGTAAGCGCAAATGAGTGTCCTTCCTGCTATGTTGCAGCTAGTGGCGTCATTCCTTGCAGATAGGAAGTTCTACATTTGGGTAGAAGACGCCGAGTCCGCCGCCGCGCGAAGCCCATTAGAGCCGGCGTACCACAGGGCAGCTTTCTGTCACCGATCCTGTACGCGGCTTACACGGGATAGGAGGACGATGTAGAGTTGGCACTATACGCGGACGACAGCACCTATTTCATATCGTTCAGAAGAGCCCACATAGCCACTGTCTGGATGCAGCGTCTGCTGGACCTGCTGCCACTATGAATGGACGAGTGGAGGATGGCCGTCAATGTTGGTAAGACGACCGCTCTGCTGACCCACCGCCTCAAAAGCCTACCACCTCCACTAACGCTCAAGGACCATGAGATCGCGTACGAGAAGGCCGTGACTTATCTTGGATGACAGGACCTGCACATGACCGCGTTAGTTGATCTCGTCTTCCGCAATGCAAGAGGTGCGCGGGCGATGTCCCGTTCAGTCCTGGCATCCAAGTTAACGCTTAAGACAAAGCTAAATCTCTACAAGCTCTACATAAGACCCAGACTTACATATGCTGCTCCGGCCTGGTACACACTCTTGAGCAATCGACAGAGGCGGCGACTGCAAGCCCAGCAGAATTTATCTTTACGAACCATCATCGGTGCAGGTCGCTACGTCCGGAATGACGTGAAAATGTAAATAATCCAGGATTTCGTGGTCTGGCTGGCGCGCGGCTTGTTTGACCGCACTGACAACGGGCCACATTCCCACCTTAACAATTTGGCTCAATGTCGCAGATAAACCAAATTAGACTTTTATTGACACCAATTTGCAGGAACCGGGGAACTGAATTCCGGGCCTCTGCGTTACTTACATTGCCATGACGTCTCCCACGATCGGTACACAGTTGTGTACCGCGAGGAGAATCTGAGTAATGGGGGAAGCCCCGAGGCCCAGGTGTATCCTGTGCGTGTGCTAAATAGCACACGCACAGGATACAAGGATAAACTTTTGGTAAATCCAAATGTGCATGTCTTAAGCACTCTTGTTATACGTCATTTTTAAAGGAGTTTAAATACACACGTTTTCACTAATAACCTTTTATGTCAAAGGTTAATAAAAAAAATGTGGAAAATCCAAAACATTCACGACTCATAATGCTCATATGATCATGAAAAAAAAATTAAAAAAAATGTAAATTGAAGTTCTCCAGCAGCAGTCACCGAAGTACACCTTCAAGTCACTCCTTCAAGTCCGTAGGTAAGGTCTTACCATAACTAACAAACCGAGCCCAAGCTCGACCTACCTAGTTTTACTGGTCGAGGAGTTCCAGCAGCATTCATCGAAGTCCACCTTGAGGTCATTCCACCAAGTCCAAAGGTAAGGTCTCATGATAACTAGCAAAACCAGCCCAAACTCGGCATACCTAGTTCTACTCGTCGAGGAGTTCCAGCAGCATTCACCGAAGTACACCTTCGGTCACTTCTCAAATCCGGAGGAAAGATATCAACTTGACTATCAAAACTAGCCCAAACTCAGCACACCTATTTCTACTTGTCGAGGAGTTCCAGTAGTCACTCCATAAAGTCCAAGACGTATTTAACTATATTTATATATAAATCCTACTTAATTTTAGCGTAACAAAATATTGTAATAAAAATCTGCTTATAAAAATAATAATATCTTACCTTATCAAGTATGTATCAAATTTGGTTTTTCGAATATTTTGTATTTCTACAGCGATCTTTTGTGCTGCAAACATACATCATCCACTCACGACGACGGCCGGGGCCAGAATGACGGATAACGGAGTGAGGCAAAGTGTATTTAGTAAAACAAATTATTACAAGGCTGCTCAAAACACTGCTACAAATAAGGAGATTTCTTAGCCGAAAAAAATTATTATAACTAAACAAAACAAAATTAAACTGCTATTTACATTCCATGGCTGCCCACATGAAATATAATATAAATTGATATTTTCAAAAGTTATCATGTTTACCCCTCCATGTGGAGCCTTAGTGGCTTTTTTTTATATAAAAATATTAATCATTTATCTTTCTGAAAATGTGCTTTTTATATCATTTATGTGTACAATGTGATTGTTAGATATGATTTCATGCGACAAAACGTTTACAATGCGCTAGTAGAACATACCTACCTAAGGCATGCAATAACGGAAATTCGTTCGCGTCAGTTCGGGGCGAGCTACCAGTTTTCCAGTATAAATCAATATAGAAGATAATAGGGAAAGTGTTACGAAGATAAATCGATGTTTCATTTCCAACTCCACCTCAAGCAAGTTACAGTCCACTTATGATATGCGTCAAGACCGGGGTCATTCTACAGGGACCCGTAATCTTAGTCGCCTAACCTTTCTTCTCAGAAAGGGGCAGATGGGCTTTGAGTGGCACACCTTCTCAGGGGTTGTGCACCTCGTTGTTCCCGAATCTAACGTGGCGTGGTATTCGTTTCTGAGGATAGAAGGTAACGGATTGGTTGATCTCTGAAAAATAACTTTTATTGTTACTTTAAAGATCTGAAAAACGGTTGACCCTGCAGTCCATCCCTGGACCTTCACGTTTATTGTCGAGTGCAACAATCTATTTAATTTTTGTTTTTTCGTTTTTATTTTTTGAAAATCTTTGTAACATAACATTGACTTGAAAATCTAATCAGTTCGAAGTCTCAATGATCACTTTCGCTATATCAAACGGTTGATTCGTTCTAAAGATATCATACGACAAAATTTTATTTACCTTAGTACCTAAAAACGTGGAAATCTGATGAAAATTCGCATTCACAAAAGAGGACCGAAAAATATTAAATCCTACTTTTGAAAATTATTAATTTTCAAAGCGGGTAAATAAAAATAATAAGCATTTAATATGAAACAGAATTTATGGTGGCCATACTAGTTACTTACTTACAGAAAAGGAGAAAATAGTATTCTCCGTGGTTTTATCCTAAAGATAACATGAAACATTATTTGATATTTTAAATCATATATTATAATTATACATAATAAATATTATATATTTTTTAAATATTTTTTTTAAATTATTTGTCAGTCAGCTCAGACCAACAATTATTGTTTTGTCAGAGTTTGTCGGTTACTTAAATTTAAGATATTAAATCTGGTAAACTTATATTTAGAGCTATTATATTTTTACCTTTATGTACAAATCTCTATTGGCAAATCATTCCATGTTCCATATAATGTCTAAGCTAACTAACACGCTTACAGTTAATACTTACTGTAAAGTGTGACACTGCCGTTTCCAGATCCGAGTAAGTTTTCTGCGTGGCACTGATAAGGGCCTACGTCGTCCCTTGAAACGTTATTAATTTTAAGTATGCTAGTGTGCTCGTAACCACATGAGATCATTTTTGTTTCATGCTTTGAATCTATAAAAATAACAATGTACTTTAATAACATTTAAAATCAAGTAATATCTAGATACAAATTAAATTTAAGAATATATAGAAAGACATTGTTATGGTTTTTTGTGAAGGATGAGATGACTTTATATTATATAATCAATAGATGCGTGACATGAAAGCCAATTTAGAAAAATGCCTAGGAAATATACTGAGTACTCATTTATCCGTATTAAAGATCACAAATTTTTGAGACCTTTGGATACTACGCTCAGCTGCTGATTGTGGTGATTATATAGGTACTTCTACACAAATTTATTCCTTTCAAATTGAAAGACACCGCGTATTTGTAATAAAATTTATTAAGTAATATATTACTAATTTGCAAGGGGCAATTTATGAGGTTTTTCTTCTAATGCCTACGTCACCTGAACGCATTGCACCCTGCTGATAAAAGGACAAGTCTCTTGTTGACAGAATGATGACGGAAAATGCTTTCAAAAACACTCAACGCAAATTTCGCGGGCTGGTGATGGACCGGCGTTACCAGTGTGAGGGTATTGGCTCTACGCTCACTTACTAAGTCTATTCTCCGTCGTAGGAGTATGGGAACATTTTTTAGTAATGCTTGCAAGTTATACTGTAACTCTAACTGTAAACTTAAAACGCTGGTGATGTGTAATAGGAAGTATTTCCCTTTGCTGTAAATTATATTGATTCTTTTTCTGGGTACTTGCTACTACAACTCCATTTTTAGTCGACTTCATTTTTTAATACGGCTTCGGGGCTTTATTCTTTTATACACTGTCTTAACACGAACTTCTGAAGCTGTTATGTGGAAATCATTTTATTATTTTTGGTTTTTTGTAGTCGGTTTCAGCTAATTTTTATTAAAAGCGTATGTTTTTGTAAAAATAATAGTGAGAGTAATAAATCATATCACCATTCCTAAGTCGGTTTTTGTACATATCCGTCCAGTAAATATTAGGAGATGGATAGGCTTCGATGTAACACTGTAGAATGGCTGCGTCACCGGCGTACACACCGATCATTTTCCGTATAACCTCTGCTCTTGGTTTACCTACGAACACAACAAATTGACTTTTTTAATTAATTTTAAAAATCATGCAAACGACATATCTATAACCCTACGAATACGAACTTCAAAACTCAAAAGTCGTTGGTTCGAATGTATATAAAAAAACAAAATAATTTGTCTAAAATATTCGATGCACATTAAAATTATTTACAGTATTTTAGTGTTTTTAGTACACCTTAAAATTATAAAATTAAAAAAAATATTATCTATTTTATGTACGAACAAGTTAAATACACCGATCATTTTCCGTATAACCTCTGCTCTTGGTTTACCTACGAATACAACAAACTGACTTTTTTAATTAATTTTAAAAATCATGAAAACGACATGCCTATAACCCTAAGAATACGAACTTCAAAACTCAAAAGGCGTTGGTTCGAATGTATATAAAAAGCGAAGTAATTTGACTAAAATATTCGATACACATTAAAATTTTAGACATTAACAGTATTTTAGTTTTTTAGTACACCTTAAAATAATAAAATTAAAAAGATATTATCTATTTTATGTATGAACAAGTTAAAATAGTGAAATTTGATTTGAGAATACAACACGAGCACAAAATGTAAGTCTGCTAATAATGAAAACATGTTTCTATTTATTACAGTCTATAAAAGTCCACAGCTGAACATAGGCCTCCTCCATAGATTGCCTCATAGCGGGGATTTTATCGTAGTTGTCACGCTTGGCAGGCGGGTTGGCAACCGCAGGTTTTTATTCAGATGTTATCAGGAATATGCCGCTGCAATCTTCTATATTAGTTTCCCTCTGTCGGCTCTTACGACACCCACTAGATATGGGATAGTGGGTATTTCTACACCACCACTACACGGTTAGAAAACGTGTTCAATCAATCAAATAAAGATAATTATAAGTATATGTAAATTGTAAATGAAATAATGACCATTGTGGCGAACGCGTCGCCTAACGGTTATCTTTTCTTTCTTGCAGTGTAGTAGCGGCGTAAGGGAACCCTCTCCTCATTTCTTCCTGTGGGAGTCGTAAGAGACGGCTATGAGAAATAGATAGCAGGAAAACTCTTATGGCATCCAAAAGATAGCGGTATACTGCCGTGTTTGTGATTATAACATAATACTTATTGAGAGTCTTTTTTTATTACCAACAAGAAAGCCGCAGGGCATTATATGTTTTTAACATATATAACTTTACAATAATTTTGTACACTCTTTTATCTGTATTTTAATGTATAAAAAGTATGGTAGCGATCACCTCAATACCGTGGGTTATTTTCAATCTTGTATTCCTTGATATTATAATAACCCTTTTTGTTCAATTTTTTAAAACTTTTAAACTTGTTGATTGAACTTTGAAAGTTTTATGGGATTTTGTTTTAAAAGCGTATACATTGCACCATAAATTAGTTATTGATTCTGTGGAGTCTAGTAACTGGTATTACAAGCTTATGTTTGTTAGTAATGTTTAAAGTATGAACAAGTTTACTCTTGTCAAAGCTGTTCATATTTTTATATACATGTATTACATTTTCATAAATATATTGCGATACCAAAGTTAATATGTTTATTTCTTAAAAAATTCTCTGAGAGACTCTTTAGAATTTAAGTTGAAAATCGCCCGTATGGGCCTCTTTTGCAAAACTAATATGGTTTCAATGTCAGTCGCGTTACCCCATTTCTAATTATTATTTGAAACACTCTGACAACATTTATTTATAAAAAGCATAAATCTATGTATTATTAAATGGGTGTATTTAACATTTTATTTGCATAGGTTACATTCGGCAAACTAACGAATTTTTTATAGCAATAAAAAGAAGTTGATAGGACAGACTATGTAATTTTTAAAGGGTGACAAACGAGCACACATGTCCACCTGATGGTAAGTAGATCCTGTGACCCATAAGCATCTACATCTATCCTCAATTAAGAATCAAAATGCAGATTGTCACCCCTGAGAACTAAGATGGAATGCCTCGTTTTCAGTAAAAAGTGTCTCCGGTTATCTACACTCACCATACGTAACACAGCAGCATTAAGCAGCTATTTAACGCTGGTATTCTGTGAGAGCGTGGTCCTTCGCTGGCCGACCCGACCCATTCGTGTTACAACAACAATATACTCGTAGATGCAGCATGGCTCTACTATGTAAATTACAAATAAACTTAATAAAAGCATTTCATATAATATGATTTAAAAACGTAAACTTAAGCATTACTGTATGAATGTTCAATATTTGAAACATACAAGTAGCGTAAATGCATGACGACGTCTTACGTGAACATTTTGAGAAACTTGAAATAATTTAAAATGTATTCCAAAACTTACATAGAACATGCAAAAGAATCCTTTTGCTGACGCTAGGCGGGATTCCGTTGCTTGCGATGCAAAGAAGTGCTCCGTTCATATCACGATGAGCCGAAGTTATATTTAGCCAGATACCTTCCCATTTTATAACTGCAAAAAGGTTTTATATCTTCCTTGTGTGTCTTATGAATAGTTTTAAATATAATATTTTGGTTAGTTTTAAATAATACTTAACGATATGTTGTGGCAATATGTACTCTATGGAATTAAAAGTTTTTGAAGAAGCCTTTACATTTTGTTTAAGTAACGATTTGGCGACAGTTGAAGATGAATTTAAAGATTTTGTTGTCAATAACGGAACATCAGTGAAAAGAAAACCGCAGCAACTTCTTGATCAGATTGAATCAAATTTTTAAGAAAATCCGAGTTTTTTTTATAGGATAGAGTGACAAACGAGCACACAGTCCACCTGATGGTAAGTGGTTGCTGTGGCCCATAGACATCTACATTTATCCTCGTTTGCGAATCAAAATGCAGATGCGTTGTCACCCGTGAGGACTAAGATGGAATGCCTCTTTTCCAGTAAAAAGGGTCTCCGGTTCTCCACACTCATCCTACGAAACACAGCAGCATTAAGCTGCTATTTTACGCTGGTATTCTTTGAGAGCGTGGTCCTTCCCCGGTCGAGCCGACCCATACGTGCTACAACTATAATACTAATATAGCTGCAGCATGGCTCTACCACGCAAAAAATTGCGTGGCCTTGCGCGTTTCTCTATTAATTAAATTCCACTTCATTTTAATTTTGTTGCTTAATTGTAGTCTTAGGTGTAGAGCACACTTTTCTAAACTAATTTAGAATATTTTTTTTACATACTTTACTACTTTACATACTCTATATTTAAGACATATTCTTATATATAGAGATGATATTTCATTATAAAGCTCATGCAGCCTTCGCCTACTTTTATGAATTCTTACTGCCGCCCATTCATTAAATGATTAGTTAAGGAAAAGTTTTAGAAGTAAATATTTTATTAAATTCACAACTTCCAATTATAGATAATGCATCACACAAATAATCAGTATTATTTTTGTATGAAAGTGATGGAAGTCCTTTTATTATAATATATCATTTCTAAACCTCTCCAAGCGATGTTCATTTATTGTAACAAACACAACCTTCTAATTTTACTGTTTTTGGGCCCGTAAGGCAATGGAAAGCTAACTATTCACAGCGATCCAAGTAAAATTTTGAATTACTAATTTATGCAACGGCCTAACATCTGTAAAAATGTTATCTGTACAGATCGCACTAGACCCAGCAACACCTGTTGTTTCTAAGGATAAATTAACAAGATTGAATAATTTAAACAATGAGCTAAAGTATTATTAGGTATTTATTAAATTATTTATTTCTAAAGTTATAAATTATATCTTAGCGCATTATTCTGTGGCAATAACTGAATATAAGACAATTTGAACAAGAGAATTTTGTGTACATTTAAGTTGTTAAGTGTCTTAAAATAAGTGTTTCTTGTTTTCACACACTTCTCCAACAAAAATTATTATTGTCGGTACTGTTTGTCCAAAATTTAGTTACTAGAATATTATTTAAGATGTCAGTCACTAAACGATCATATACCTAGAGAGGCATGCGACAATTACTAATTACTTGTCCCATTAGAGTTATTAAATATTATGCCTAGATTTTTCCCATATCATGGCTATACAAAATAAAGTAATTTTATTAAGTATTTTAATTACTTTTTATTTACATCTCCTCTGTTATGGAACTGTCATTTAGGTGGAGATATTGTCAGCAAACACCGACTCTGAAGAAAGTGGTATCTATTGAGCACTGACAGCTGACACTCACACTGATGTTTTATCAAGGAGTCAAAACGCTCTTCATTATATTTACACGAGACGACAACTAACAAATAAGTACCTGGTATATCGAACTTTGTTCGGCTTTAGAAAAAAAATATGATATTCTCAAAGATGATATCTATCTAGATAAGCTTGGAAAGGAAAACATTATCTACTTAAATACAAATTTTCATTCAAATTACTTTTACTTAATTACTTTCAAACAATTGACAATTAATAAACAATTGACGGATCTGTAGGTAGCTCAGTGGCTAAGTGTTTGGTCGCGGCGCTGCAGATTCGCAGGTTTCCGCAAGACGATACAGGAGAGAGGAGATTCTACTGTGGAGAAAACCTTTTTTTAAAGAAAAATAAACTTAAATTTAAATAAATTTAGGTATAAAAATTTCGCTTAAAGTATAGGATAAATCTTGACATGCAACTTAAAACAGACCTACAACATAATATAAGTGCATTATAGTGGGCAGAAAGCAATTTGCTATTTTTTCAATTGATGTTGTTAAATACGATTTAATTATTTTATGAAATTTCTATAAGTACGCAAATAAAATGATTTTTGATCCATAAGGTACTTAAATATTTCTGAACCTTTTTCACCGCCAACTATAAGCCATTTAGAATCCTCCCTTTTCCAGGTGACGATCGGTTGAGGAATGCCCGATGCAGCACAGTGAAGAGCTACGCTTTCACCTTCCCGCACGACTACTTCACCACTGCTGTCCGAATCAACGATGTCTGGCGGCACTAAATTCAATTAAATAAACCTACTCGTATTTATGTATGCAGCTAAAGAAGAAACAGGTTTTAAATAATTTATTTACGTTTTTGTTAGGCTTTACATTATCTGCGTTATCTATACAAATAAATAAAATTGAAGTGTCTGTTTGTAATGTAAAAATAACAGCTTTTTACTAAATGCATATGCACATATACGGTACTTATTACAACAAAAAAAAAACAAATTTTAACGGCTGGATCGAAATTGACGGTACTTTCACTGGCAGACAGCTAATGTTATAAGGAGTGACTTAGGTTCTTCCGCGAAAACAATTAAAACCCATGAAATACAATCGTAATAAATACAACGCGGACGAATTCGCGGAGAACAGCTAGTAAATAATATAAGTACTGTACGTCGGTTAACAACAAGTTCAAAAAATAATGAAATATCTTAACGGACGCAGCAAAATTGTAACTACTGTAATATACATTGTAAAAGTTTTATGGAGCTTTATTTTATCTCCCTTGTTCTATTCTGAACAATATCAATTTAGTAAAGATATTAAGAAGCTCGAGGATAAACGCTCGCTTTAAATTTAGTGTGCAGGCAAATGGAATCCGAAAGTATAAAAATTTTAATGGCACTTTTAAGTGCTAATTTACCACGGACACGGAGGTGAACGAAAACATCGCGAGGATAACTGCATGCTCTAGAAATAAAATACTTTGAGGACATAGTAAATTCGCCGGCACTCCATACACATACTCCATACAGATACATGTTATGGCACCACGACACGAATACAAATTGAACATTTACAAAATTATTCGTATCTATATCTCCTGTCCAAGACCAAGAATGGAGATTTTTTGTATATTTATTACATAAATAAACTTCTATATTAAACTATATACTTCTTCTTTATTAAACTTTACTTTTACCCAAAAATATAAACGAATAGACCGTTTCAAGAAAATCAAACCAAAAACGTGAAGATGGTGTATTTGCGTCTTCATTGGTTCGGTGTTGATTTGGCACATGTACTGGCCACTGTCGCCGAGCTTTACATCTCGTAACATCAGTGACCAAGCTTGAGGCTCAGTTCGAAGTACTCCAATTCGATGGTTCTTCGTGATCACTTGTTGTCCAATTGTAAGTATGGTTTGAGTGTCAACACGTAACCACGCCACCTGGTAATATTTTTAATTGCTTATAGTATATTATAGTAGGTAGTTATATGGTTGATTATATTTAAACTCTGTAGAAGCTCAGAAACCAAGCGCTCGTAAGAAATTTCTCAGTAGGCGAACAACACGATGAATCGACGACGAATCGACAGTGGCTTAGCAATGAGTTGCTGCGCTGGGAGGCGTGGGTTCGATCCCGCACGGAACATACACCTTCCCTGTTGGACCTTCTGCTGACCTATCATCCGGACGGATATCAGGTTTCCGTCGATGCCCCTCTCGGCTCTTCGGACCATTGTCTGATCCGGAGTTTGGTGCCACTCACGCTCCCTTCGCGGTTGCGTTCTGCAGGTTGCCGCCGTGTTTGGCATTACAGGTCGGCGGATTGGGACGGAATGCGGTCTTTCTTTGCATCCTACCCATGGGGGCGGGCTTGCTTCTCGCCGGATGATCCCAGCGCTGTTGCTGACTCTGTCACTGATGTGGTGCTACAGGGAATGGAACTATTTTTTCCATCATCTGTGGTACCCATCGGAGGCAGATCTCAGCCTTGGTTTGGTCGCTCCTGTAAGACTGCATTGCAGGAGTGTTATCAAGCCTGGGCTGCGGCTTCGGTGACTCGGGATGTAAACACCAGCACACTTAAAAAGAAGTATAACTTCGCCTCCAGGTCCTTCAAAAGAGTTATTGCCAAGGCAAAGTCAGAGCACATAGGCAGAATTGGCGAGAAACTAGTTCGCCTTCCTTCGGGAACCCGTGCATTCTGGTCTCTCGCCAAGGCTGTCCAAGGGAATTTCTGTAAGCCATCACTACTATCTCTGCACAGGGAGGACGACTCACTGGCCCAAGACGCAAAAAACAAAGCCGACCTTTTAGGCTCCCTTTTTGCGTCCAACTCGACTCTTGATGACGGGGGGAAAATACCGCTGACCATCCCGCGGTGTGAGTGCTCCATGCCGGATGTGCTATTCTCACAGCGCTCAGTTCGCAAAGCAATTCTCTCCCTGGACATCCAGAAGTCGAGTGGGAATGACGGAATCCCCCCAATTGTGCTGAGGACGTGTGCTCCTGAGTTGGCACCGGTCCTAACGCGTCTTTTCCGGTACTCCTACTCCCAAGGCGTAGTCCCGAATTCATGGAAGACAGCTTTTGTCCACCCGATCCCTAAAAAAGGCGACCGCTCAGACCCGTCCAACTATAGGCCTATCGCGATCACCTCCTTGTTCTCCAAAATAATGGAATCCATTATTAACTGCCAGCTCATCCGGTACCTTGAGGATCACCAGCTGATTAGTGACCGCCAATACGGTTTTCGTCGGTGTCGATCAGCTGGTGATCTTCTGGTCTACCTGACCCATAGATGGGCGGAGGCAGTAGAGTCCAAGGGGGAGGCGTTGGCCGTTAGTCTGGACATTGCGAAGGCCTTCGATCGGGTTTGGCACAAAGCGCTTCTTTCGAAGCTGCCTTCCTATGGGCTTCCCGAGAAATTGTGCAATTGGATCACCAGCTTTCTTGCAGATCGGAGCATCAAGGTCGTTGTTGACGGTGCATGTTCTGACTACAAGCCTATTAACGCTGGTGTTCCATAAGGCTGTGTGCTATCACCAACGCTGTTTCTTCTGCATATCAATGATATGTTGCTAACTGGTAACATTCATTGCTATGCGGATGACAGCACTGGTGATGCTCTATACACCGGCCGGGCCAATATTTCTCGGGAAAACGTCGCCGAGTACCGGAACAAACTTGTGTCTGAAGTCGAGTCTTTGCTGGACAAAGTCTCGGATTGGGGGCGACTAAATCTAGTCCAGTTTAATCCTCAGAAGACACAAGTTTGCGCGTTTACCGCTAAAAAGAACCCCTTTGTCGTATCTCCTCAGTTTCAAGGCACTCCCCTTCTTGCCTCAGCCCTCGTATCCTCGGAGTCGACATATCGAGTGACGTGCAGTTTCGTGGTCACTTGGAAGAGAAGGCCAAATTGGCCTCTAAAAAGCTTGGCGTGCTCAGCAGAGCGGGACAGTATTTCATGCCGGCACACCGCCTGCAACTTTACAAGGCGCAGGTTCGGCCTCACATGGAATACTGTTCCCATCTCTGGGCAGGGGCTCCCCAGTGCCAGCTCCTTCCACTTGACCGCATCCAGCGCAGAGCAGCTCGAATCGTCGACGACCGAGCCCTTTCCGATCGGCTCGATTCATTGGCACTGCGAAGAGATGTTGCATCTCTTTGCATTTTCTTTCGCATCTACCATGGGGAGTGCTCTGAGGAATTGTTCGGATTAATCCCAGCCGCCAAATTTCATGAACGCACATCGCGGCAGAACTCCCGATACCATCCACATCATCTGGATGATTGGCGGTCCACCACTGTGCGATTTAGAAGATGTTTTCTTCCTCGCACGACTTCCTTGTGGAATCGATTACCATCAGCGATTTTTCCGGACCGATACGACTTAGGGACCTTCAAGAAAAGAGCCTACTCCTTTTTAAAAGGCCGGCAACGCATCTGCAATTCCCCTGGTGTTGCGGTTGTTCATGGGCGGCGGTAGTCACTTACCATCAGGTGAGCCGCATGCTCGTTTGCCCCCTGTCCTATAAAAAAAAAACAAGTATTTGTATGGCCTACAAATAATTGTTCCGGGTCTGGATGTTTGTCCTTGTGCAATTTGTGTTTGTAAACTGCCTCCACTATACAAAAGAAAATCCTAGTGTGAGGGTAACGTTTTTTTAAAAAAAAAAACCGAGGTAAATTGTTGATTATATTTTTAAGTGCTAATTCAACATGTAAATCATCGTGAGGAAACCCGCAAGTCCTATAAATGAAATATTTCATGTGATGTCTGCTAGCTAACATGCACTACAGTAGCGCGGCGAACTAATTGCTTCAGTCTAAATAAGACAAGACCTTGTCCAGCCGCAGGACGTTTATAGGCCTTAACCTATGGTTGTAACTATCACTATCTGTAGGATAAATAATACGCGTGAATTTCTAGCCTTATTCTCGACACGATTTTAATAAAGCTTATAAATTATGTCAGCCTTATATTATTTCTAATAAGCACGGGATGTTTTATTATTCGTGTAGAAACAGAAACAGAAACTTTTTTACTCAATATAGATTATAAATAATACTTATTGAAAGTCACTGTTTTGTTTAATTACCACTGGTTCGGAAACAATACCTCTGTCCTGGGAAGAACCAGCAAGAAACCCAGCGGGACTTTTTTTTATATAACAGCTTACAATCATGTAATCACAATTAACCAAACAAATCAAATTAGAAATATCTTGATAGCGATCACGTCATTCCCAGGTGTTATTATCACCCACTAATTTCTTAATATTATAATAACCCTATTTATACAAACTTTGTTTGATAAAGTTTGAACTTAATAGATAAATGAATAAGCCACACAAAATATATTTTCAGTAGGCAAGAATATTTTCTCAATCAAAATATTCGTTAGTATAGAAATGTTAGTAAAATTGCACCATTTTTTCGTTCATAGGCAAACAAATGAATTAAAGACATACTTTAGCCAGCCCATTATATTTCACATCGGCCGGTCCTGAACTGTGCAACTTACCGTCCTAATTGCTCTTTGAAGGAACAAAGTGTGGTGCCGACATTTTATCCCTGATATTTACGAGTGTCGCGCCTTTGCTAAAACCTTCCGTATTAGCTGACGTCAAAATCGTGAATGGAAACGCATTACAACGAGAAATGAGTTATGGGTCTTGTTAGTATAACTAATGGAAGTTTTATGTACCATATTATTATACTATAATTTTAATAAAATATTATATATTGAAACATTATATTATATTTTTTATGGAATAAGTGCAACAAACGGTCATTTAGTCTACCAGATGTTAAATGGATCCTGTGGCCGATCATCATCATCATCATCATCATCATCATTACAGCCCTTCACAAGTCCACTGCTGAACATAGGCATCCCCCAAGGAATGCCGCAAAGCACGGTCCTGAGTCACTTGCACCCGTCGACTTCCTGCATGTTTTACCAGATCGTTACTCCGCCCTGCACTTCGCCTACCAGTACGAGGCTGCCACTCGAGAACCTTTTTTCCCCATCAGTTGTCGGTTCTTCGAGTTATAAGGCCGACCCATTGCCTCTTCAGCTTACCAATCCGTTGGGCAATGTCGGTCACTATGGATCTACTACGGATAGCCTCATTTCTAAGTTTATCACGCAGAGAAATCCCGAGCATAACCCTCTCCATAGCTTGCTGAGCGACCTTGAGCGTCCTCATACGGCCAGCAGTGAATGATCACGTCTCAGATCCATATGTCATCACTCGCAACACGCACTGATTGTACAACTGACGAGAAGAAGTGCCATAATTTCCGAAACGCTGCCCAGCCGAGTTAAATCCGTCGATTGACCTCTCGGTCGAAATTGGACTTAACTAGTCGGACTATTTCTCCCAGGTAAACATACTCGTCAAAAACTTCAAGCTTAGTGCTCCCAATAACTTTCTAGCATAGGTGTGACATGGACATTAAACATGATCTTTGTTTTGTCCATGTTCATCTTAAGACCTATCCGTTGGGAGACACTATTGAAGTTATTGCGCATAATGCTAAGGTCCTCAAGCGATTCTGCCATAACGACTATATCGTCGGCAAATCGAAGGTAAGTGACTGGTATCCTTTCCAGTCCAGTAGGTTGGAAACGTCTTCCAATGCAGCGGTGAAGAGTTTTAGGGATATAACGTCGCTTTGTCTTATACCTTCCTGCAGTTGGATAGGTTTTGAACTCTGGTTCTGTACTCGAATAGCCATCGTAGCCTTAGTGTACAAACACTTCAGCACTTCAATATCCCGACAGTCAACTTGGTGCCGCTGAAGGGACTGTAGCACCGCCCAGATTTAGACGCAACCAAAGGCTTTCTCATAGTCCACATACGCAAGGAAAAGTGGCGGTTTATACTCTTCGGTCTTCTGTACTATTTGCCGAAGGGTATGTATGTGGTTTATGGTGCTAAAGCCTTTTCGGAAACCGGCTTGTTCGGGAGGCTGGAAGTCGTCGAGTCTGCGTGCGTGACGAGTACATTTATGCCCGATTAATAATCAAAATACAGATGCGTTGCTATCCCTGAGGACTAATATGGAATGCCTCATTTCCAGTAAGAAAGGGTCTCCAGCTCACTACACTCACCATACGAAATACAGCAGCATTAAGCTGCTATTTTACGCCTGTATTCTGTAACATTGTGATCCTTGCCCGGCCAAGCTCACTCATTCGTGCTGCGTCCATAATATAACTTCAGCATGAATTTATAGAATATTTTTGTAACATAGAATACAAGTGTATTTTGTCTTTAATTACTTCCTTTAAACTAACCAGAAACCCGTGACCGTGTAAGGATACCCACTACTCCATATCATCCCGTGGGTGTCGTAAGAGGCGACAGAGGGAAACAAGCCAGTAGATGGGAAGCAGCGTCTTCTTAGTAACAACGAAAAAATATAAAAACTGCAATTGTAAATATCCCCACCTATGAAGCAGTCTACGGTGATGTCTATGCTTAGCATTGGACCATCGATGGGCTGTAGTGAATATTTATGTTTTATTCATAGATAACGGGCTTTGTCGCTGATGCGATTATGATGCCCTGGTAGTTACAAAAAATCTTAAAAATAATAATTACTAACAAATAAACTTATTAAACTAACTAATTACTTAATCTCTTACTAACTAACAAATAGAATTTTTTGGCACAGTGTCGAGAAGACCTATAAATAAATGAAATAAGGAGTTTACCTCGTAAATTAAGAGGTAATTAGACGTTTTATTCAATACCGTTTCAAAAACTCTTTCCTATTATACATACCTTGTAATTTTGTAAGTTTTTCACATAGCAAGTTAGGGTTGCGTCTCGCCCAATAACTACAGTAACATTTGATTCGTTACTCGCTAGCCTGGGTTCCTCTGCAACAATAACATAAAGTTCAAGACGATGTGTCCTTTCAGCTGATTTCGACCACAGTGACAATATTTATTAAATTATATCATACGACTTGATTAATTTGCGCCTGTGGTGTCGTAACAGAGGATAGCAGGAAACTGAAACAGGAGATGGGCAGCAACAGCTCCCATATTATACCAAGCAGAAAGTTTTGAAGCTATAAGCATCGCAGCGGAGGGGAGTTAGTTAAGTGGCAATATGCCGGCCGAAGTTGAAGAACAGATGGGGAAGTTGTGCTTCTCGAGTAATCTTCGTACCCTCAACAGAAGTGTAGTGTACCCTCCACTGGATGGATGCGGGTATCTCAGGACCGTGTATTTTGGAATTGCCTAGGAGGCCTATGTTCAGCAGTTTTAAGGGCTGTAGTAATGATAATATGTTTATAGTATAACAACTATTGTTTAGGCCAAAAATGGTCATTTTGAGACGACAACCAATCACGTTCGACTTAGCAAATCGCCCTATGGTACCAGGTGTCACGCGTGTCGTGGGGAGGGGGCAGCGGAAGGTAGCTTCTCAGCGTCTGGTGCTGTCGGGCGAGAGGCAGTGGGTCGCGGGCAGCGGTGCAGTTAATCGTATCTCGGTTACCGTATCTCGGTTACCGCTGCAGAAGTTTCGCGCGGCCGGTTTATGGTCTAGATTTTTAGAATTAGTGCGTGTTACTTCGCTACGTAATTGTGGTTTCGTGAAAACCGCCTCGGTTTAGTTTGTCTAGGGTTTAAGTTCGTGACAACAGGCTTGTTTGTATTTGACTGATTAAAGTAATTTCGTTTGAAAGTAATTGCGCAAATTAGATAGTGATAGCGTGTTGAAGTGCATTTTGCAATATTTAACTTGCTCGTGTGACGTGGAATTACACGCGCGCGCCGAATAGATATACGGTCTAGAATTCGAACCGCGCATTCCATTTCAGGGGCGTCTCCCGGTTGATTGTTTGGAAATAATCGTTTAATTATACCGTCGCGTTAAGAGCCTTTTGTGTGTTGAATCGGTAGCTAGTTTACGTGTCAACTAGGTTGATTTTGAATTCTTATTGCGGCGTGGTGTTTAATATCGAACGAAGGAGCTTAGTTGTGTTTGTAACGCTGAACCATGTGACTCGTGAAGAGATCGCGTTAGTTCCCTATTTGTAATTTGGTGATAAATGAATCCGGGACATTGAATGTTGAACTTTGAACTACGGGTGTCACGTGTTAGATTCTACGATGAACGTTGAATTAGTCGAGTTGAAGTTAGTTAAATGTACAATAAAGTGATAGATTAAAATAGTGACAATGAAGAAAGAAACTGTCATGGTGGACGCCTGCTGGAGTGATGCAGCATTGTGGGGCAGCATGGAAACCGTTGCGCTGCCAGGTCACCTCAGCTGGGCCAGGTCACCCACATATACACATCACTAAACATTACTTTACATGCATATACTCTACTTACGGCCTGACCGAGCCTTGGGGCGGTCTTAGATTCCGATCCAGGTACGTACCATTTATTTTCCTAGACTTCTCCTTATTTTGTAGTATAATAGGTCATATTTCCATAAAGCCATTTGGGCCCGAACCCTCGGCTGTCCGTCGAGGAGTCTACTATGGGCCCTAGCCAAGGCGACCTTTGCAGGGGCAGCTGTGGGCCGTAACAACTATTCATAGCTGTTGTTCAATAGCAGGGATATGTTCCTGCATTTTAATAGTAATGAACATCTGTTCTAGACATGAGTCATGTTTAAACAAAACAGTTACTTGATGTTAGAGAAATGAACTAATTTTTATTATTAAGTATCAAATACCAGCTTTTTTAACCGCAGCAGCAATTTTAAACACACACGTTACTAGCGGTAGTTTTTTTACTTACTAGTTAGAGATGTGCCTTTAAATCGGACGTAAAACAGTAAAGCGAATACAATCGCAAAAAATAAGTAAGATAATTCTATTCTAGTATGTGTCAAACACCGTCATATTCATGTATACTAAATTTAAGTAGCTTACGATTCATAAAAGTAATACAATAAAAAAAATTAATAGAAAAAGTGGTAAAATATAGAAAAAAATCAAATCATTTTATATTTATTCCGCCCTTTTGTTGTTTTCGCTTAAACAATCTCAAAGGAGAATGACTAACGCTCCCTGTTGACTCGCCTTAACATTTTTTGTTCGTTTTGACATTTTAAATAAACAAACTCAAATAATAGCAAATATTTACTTAACAAAACACAACAATAAATTCAATGATCAAAAGTAAAAGAAATATAAACTCAACTGGAAATTACAAAACGGCCGATAGGTACTTCATACAAAGCACTAGCATAGATTATACATATTACACATAATATATGTAAGTATAGCGAAAAGCGCTAGCACTCGTACTTTGAAAAGCTACGGGTGTAGTCAACGCCGTACTGAAAATCACAGGTGCTGGCAGTCATTTTATTTGTTTTAATGTCACAAGTCATAAGAAAAAACCTACAACACATACATAATCTACAGCATATTTCAAATGTATAATAACTCTACTTACATATCTTTCGTTTTTAAACATAATTTACAAAAATGTCTGATCATTGTGCAAAATCGACGCACTCAACTCTAATAATCTCACTCAATTTCTAATTACTAATTATCATATACCTACCAAAGGGTATATTAAAATGCTATGTTTAACTTGAATATTAGTATTCTGTGATACTTGAGGCATAGATAATACTCATAATTGAAGAGCACTCAACGTAGATTACTAAAATTCTACAGTCAACGACCTCACTACCTCACGAAATAAAATAAACTCATGGAAGAAATTAATGCATGAGTAAATGATTTTATTCCTTTAAATTAAATCCTTGAACAAAAGTGTTATAGACAACCATTTTTAAATTCCTTGTCTGTTTGTCTGTCCGAGCTAATCTTCGCAATGGCAGAACCAATTGTCTATACACGGTGTAACATGAGGGGTGGATCATCGGCGGCTGGGGGTGGAGGACCTCAATACCTATCGATTTAACCCCCCTATAGGTAATGCAATATTCAGTGGTTCAAAAGTTATTTGTATACAAAATCCGATTTTAGCCTAAGCTTCGCAATTGCAGCCAAACTAATAAGTCTGCGACTGTGATATTTTTTTTAAACAAGATAAACATAGGGTCTTTTGTACCTTTACATCAAACAGAGGCTTAGATTTATAAAAATCCAAATAAAAAAACAGAAGGAAAATTTTTAGCTAATTTTCTTCTATAAACATGTCAGCTCTAGTGCATGGAGTACGTTTTTCTTGCTCATTATTATAAATTGGTTTCAGTGGTAACTTTTATATAAAATAAATTTTTGTCATATTAAATCAAGTAATTGTTTGTTTCTCTTTATTGATCTGTGTAATTTTTTTAGAGTATGTTAAGATTTATTTGGGGTGTTTCTATGGCAACAGAAGAGAAGACACGATTATAATTACATAATATACACGTTTATTCACATACAAGCAAAAATGTTATACCCGCTTTTAGGCTCTACCGCAGTCGGTTAAAGGCAATGTGAAGTAATTGATAGAATCAGGCGTTACTTTGCGGAAATTACGAGGCTGCGGAGGCCGCAGCGTCTACTTCACCTGAGGATGACTCGTGTAGAGGCGAAACATGTGTCGTATTTTCGAGAGTGGTGTGTCGTGCCTAGTGTGGTGGTGCTGGGGATGGTAGTGCTGGGATTGACGGCGACGGGTATAGTGCGCCCGATTGAGGGAGGGTGGGAGGTCCCCTTAAAACTGGGCAGGACACATCATTTTCTTTTTTTACACGGAATTAAGCAAATAAATTTATAACAACCCCATTAATGTGAAGTAGTGTTAGTAGTGAAGTTTAATACTATCCAGTGTGTTGTGTAACACACCATGTAACACAACATAACACACTAGACCGAACACGCGAGAAGATTCTTGTGTTTATATGATTAAAGTAGCCGCAACTTCAAAGAAGTTTAAGAAAGAAATCCATAAAACACGATTTCAAGAGATATTTATTTAGTATCTATGCTTCATGTAATGGAAGATAAACACATACATTGAAAATTCTGTGTTTAATATCCAATATTTTCGATGAACAAAAGGGACACTGCAAATACCCTCATTTCGTAGCTAGACTAAAATGGCTGACATTATATTGACACTTGGCAGATGTTATAAGGTTTTGCCACCCTACAAAACAAGTTCCAATGTGATTAGCACTAAACTACGATAGTTACCGTGTAACACATTACTCGTAGCGCACTAGAAAATAATTATGAGGGACACTTGTTTAAATTTGTGATTTCGCAAGAAATTGTAAGATTTTGCGAGAGTTTCAGACAAAATACTATAAATTAATTCCTATTCTGACAATGAAGGTTAAAAGAAATAACAATAAAGGCGTAATTAAAAAAAAATAAAATTAAAGCATTGTCGGCGGACAGCCCTGGGACATTTAAGTTTTGTATGGAGCAAAAAAAGATTGAAAGTTTTATAAAACAAAATATTATAATTGAAAATATGTGAATTCCATTTGCAACTATCTTTTTTTTTTTTGATGTCTTCATAATAATGCAACAAATAAAATTCTATAAAAGAAACTTTTAAAAAATACTAAAATTTATAGGTAAACAAGTAGCCGTGATTTTTTTTCAAAACGTACATTTTTATGAGCCCAACCATAATATATTTTTTATGCATTTAGTAAAAAGCTGTTATTTTGACGTAACAAACAGACACTTGAATTTTATATATTTGTATTTTATGTATAGATTTAAAACGCTAGCATAAACAGAATAAATCAAAAACGAATATAAAATAATAATTTTTAAACAATCCTTGATACGAGCACACAGGTATCGGGCCTTAATACAAGGGTAGTCCGTATGTTATCAAGGCCGAATAAACCGAAAGGCAAAGGAGGCAAAATGCTAATGGACCCCGTGTTTCTTAAGGGCCTCGCGGTCTTAGAAAAAAAATAGATTGAAAAATTCAAAAGTGCACGCCGCATGGGCGTTTTTACTCTTTTAATTATTATAATATTTAATTAT